GTTGAGTGCGGTTGGTCAGCCAGTTACGATTCCATCTGGTGATGATGCTGTCTAACCCACAGTTTTCTATTTTATAAAGCAGTAGGTTAAGCTCTACTTTATCAAATGCCTTATTGAAGTCCAAGTAAATTATATAATTGGGCCAAAGAAGCCTCTACTAGAAAATTGCACAGTTCAGAGAGCACCAAGGACACCTTGGTTATGTAAATGTTCCTCAAATGCTCATTATTTCTGCCTTGAATTCAGATAGAAGCTTCTTGTCTTCTGAAGTGGTCCTGGATAGCAGTCCAGAGTGTGATTTATTTAAGAAAGAAAACAATTTATTTCCAATGAATGCTTTCATATATGTCATTTAACTGCCCGGCTCGAGAACTAGCAACAGTCATAAAAAACAGCACAGTTTGACAGAGATTAGAAATGCTAAGTTTACACGTGTTATCAGATCTGCTCTTACTTGCCTAACCTGAAACAAAGGCCTCCTTTTAAGACCAAATGCCAAATAAAGTTCTTAATCCATTGTGCAGAATACCACACAGCATTGCAGAAATCTGCTCCAAGTATTATTATTTTTTAATATAAAGGCCACATTGTGAACAAATTTCAGGTCCTGAACAGTTGTTCAGTGAATTTTATTTATTTATTGTTTTACGACCTTTCTTGCCAAAGTTAAGGGAATCACTGCTGTTGCTAAGTTAGTAACACGTTCGTTAGTGAAAGTGACTTCCCCATTGACATTGCTTGTCAAAAGGTTGCAAAACGTGACCCCAGGACAGTCATAAATATGTGTCAATTGCCAAGCATCTGAATATTGATCACATGACCAAGGGGATGCTGCAATGGTTGCAAATGTGAAAAATAGCCATAAGTCGCTTTTTCAGCGCTGTTGTAAGTTGGAATGGTCAGTAATATTTGAGGAGTTCCTGTATTAATTTCAAACTTAAGATGCTTCGGTTTACATATCTCTCCCAGCTTGGGTCTTCATTTGAAGAAACTTTACTGAACAATGGCTTCACAAACGTTTTTATTGCTTTGGGAATCTGGGAAAAATTGACCACTCAAGCCAAATCAGAAGACTCGAAGGATCGGCTAATTCTGTTAGAATCGTTCTTGGTGTAAAGGCAAGGATTTATTTAAGTTGAATCCCTGATTTATAATGATATAAAGAAAGTAGCTTCATAAAACCATAAACAATTCTGAAGCTGCATCTCCTAAGAAGATCTAATCCAGTCCTCAATATACAGGAACAAAATCTTTCAGATATGGCTATCCATTCTCTTCAGAACCTCCAGAGATTGAAAACTCTCTCTGTAAGTATCACCACGAGAAAGAAAAGGAAGGAAGGAAGGAAGGGTGAAAAGAGAAAAAGGAAAGGAATAGAGAGGAAGAAAGGAAAAATATAACAGAGGGAGAAGGTAGGGAGGAAAGAGAGATCTAAATCGGGTCTCCAATCTTGGCAACTTTAAGACTTGTGGACTTCCATTTCCCAGAAGTCCACAAGTTTTAAAGTTGCCAAGGTTGGAGACCTCTGATCTAAATCACTATTTTCTATCCTGACAAGTTAGGGAATTCTGGGAGTTGAACTCCACCCTTCTTGAAGCAGCCAAGGTTGAGAAACACTGATCTAAATATAGAGAACATCACAACAGGAAAACGTGCCTGTGAACTTTGGGTTCCCTGCCAAAAAAAAAAAAAAAGCGATTTTCATCTCTCGAGTAGCTACACCTCCCAATCTTTGGCACTTCTGCAAGGGTCTATGGTGCACTCCCTTAAGGCTTATCAGGGTCCTCGACTCTCTCGCGGTGGCCTCTCGATGGTTCCCGCAGCCGCTCTGGCCGCCCACGTCTTCTCCGTGACTAGAAGTGGGCGGGGCGGAGGGCGTTTGTTATGATGGCAGCCTCTTCCGACGCGGCGGCGAGGCCAGAAGCGAGAGAGGCGAGGTGGGAGCGGCGTCGCGGGAACGGCTGAGGCCTTTTTTTTCTCTCCCCTTCTCCTGGCTGGAACGGGCAGTCTCGGCCCCACGGCGTCAAGCGGGTGGGCAGCCGGAGTCGTGGGGGCTCGCAGAACGCCCGTGTTGCAGCCTTTACCTCGCCTGGTTGTTGGGAGGGCGGTTTGGGACCTCCACCACCCCGTACCTGGCTGCAGCCCAGGGCGCATGCGCAGCTGAGCTTGTCCCTAGGTTCCAGTGAACCCCAACCCCAGAACTTGCCAGAAAGTGCGCATGCGCGGCTTAGTTTGGGCATGGGTGCTAGTGGGAGCCCCTTTCCCCCCGTAGCAAAAATTGGGAGAACAAACTACTTTTGGGGTCGCATTTTGAGGCCTTTTCTGATTGGCAGACCAGCCTTTGTGGTGATGGTGGGGCACTTTCTGCCAAGTTTTGCTAGTGGGGAGGGGCTCTCACTTGCGCCCAAGGCCAAGCTAAGCCGCGCATGCGCACTTTCCAAGATTATTAATAAAAAAATAAATGTATTAATGGTATTCATAAAAAAAAACATTGGAATTGGGTTGTATTGTTGCTTCCTCGCGGGTCTGTATGTGTGTTAAATACGGTAGTTCAGTGGTTCCCGAACTTGGCAACTTTAAGACTTGTGGACTTCAACTCCCAGAATTCTCCAGCCAGCTNTCAAGGTTGATTCAGCCTTCCATCCTTCTGAGGTGGGTGAAATGAGGACCCAGACTGTGGGGGCAATATGCTGACTCTGTAAACCGCTTAGAGAGAGCTTTCAGCCCTATGAAGCGGTATATAAGTCTAACTGCTATTGCTGTAATGGAAAGGGCGCACGACCCAGCTGCATGTGCAACCCCCATGGGCACCCTGTACATGTGCACGAGACCCCCCCACTCCCCTGCCCCCAGTGCATGTTTGCCTGACCCACCCCTGCTCCCCCACCCCATGCATGGGGAAACCCTCTCTGCGTGCACCGTGCCCCATGCGCATGCACCCCCTGTGCGCATGCGCACCTGACTCCCGCTGAGCTGGGAGGGACAGCTGGCCATGCCCTCAGAGACGACTCTGCGTGCCAACAGGTTTCACCACCATGGCCCTCATCTAATCTTCCAGGTTTTCTGGAAATAAGATACAAATAGTTCTCGACTTGCAACGGTTCGCTTACTGACTGTTCGAACTTAACAAACAGCACTGAAAAATTGACCGATGGCCGTTTTTTACACTTAGGACCGTTGCATGCTCAGGTGATCAAAATTCGAACGCTTGGTAACTGACTCCTATTTATGACCGTCGCTGTGTCCTGGGTGGGTGTCACACAACCCACTTTTGCGACCTTCTGATAAGCAAAGGCAATGGGGGGAAGCCCAGATTCGCTCTACAACCCTGTGGCTAACTTAACGACTGCAGTGGAGTGCGACGGGGCAAAAGCTCTCTAAAACAAATGTCTCACTTAGCAACAGAAACTTTGGGGTCGTAAGTCAAGGACTACCTCTAATCTCCAGGTGTGGTTCGACCCCTGTAAAGTGCCAAGCTCCATCCGGGGGACGGGGTGGTGGTGGGCTTTTGCGAAGTGCGCCCCGGCATTTTCTTATTTTCAGAGAAAGTTCTCGTTATCTCTTTGCCGCGCAGACAGCGTCATCCAGAAAACCCAGAACCAATTCAATCACACCAACTGCGCTCAGCCGAAGTTCGACGTTGCCAAAATGCAGGAGGAGCTTCGCCTGCGACCTCCGGCCCTCGTCAGCTGGGAAGACATGGAACTGGTCAACGGGATGGTGAACGGCCGGGCGGAAGTCCACCTCGAGGCAGGTGAGTTACGGGTAGCTTTTATCAGCCGACTGAAATAATGGCAGAAGCCTAAAGGAGAGTTGTAAATTCCCTACCCAAAAGGGTTCGATCTCCACCTTTGCTGGATGTCCTTTCCTCTTTGAACCCAGGTGAGTGATTGGTCAGTCCACAGAAAAAAAGAAAAAAAAAACCTGATCTTAAATCTTAAAAAGTGTCCCGGAGCGGAATTAGCAGCTAACTGGCTTTGTAAGTTTACGTTTGTAAGTTTAATTTGGTTCCACCACAAANTGTGGACTTCAACTCCCAGAATTCTCCAGCCAGCTCTGGAGAATTCTGGGAGTTGAAGTCCACAAGTCTTAAAGTTGCCAAGTTTGGGAACCACTTCGGTAGTTCTTTATTATGTGGTGGGGCTTTTAAAAATGTCAAATGCCTCCCCCCTCCAGTCACCGAATCATTTATATATTTATTCCAACCCAAATTATTTATATATTAAACAAATTAGTCAGTCATCGACTTAACTATTGTTTATTGACCATTGGAAGTTACAGCGGCGCTGGAAAAAAAATGACTGAAGACTGTTTTGTCCCACTTAACAACCGTCACCTGATCAAAATTCAGGTTTGATCTCCCAGCTTGTTTGTAAACTGTAAACTGACTCATATTTACGACCACCGCAGTGTCCCCGGGGTCACGTGAGACCTTATGACCAGCAAAAGTCAGTGGGGAAGCCGGATTCACTTAATGACCATGTGGCTAACTTAACAACAGCTTAAGGTGAGAAAGTCCATAAAATGGAGCAGATCTCAACCACTGTCTTGTTTAGAAGCTGAAATTTTGGGGTTTTCTCTTGGATCATAAGTCGACTTGCCCATTAAAGGAATAATTTAAATAATTTTGAGACATTTCAGGATCCTAGGAGGCTGAATAGAACTTGATGCAACCTTCGGAATGGAGGTCATTGCAGGTCAGGGAGAAAAGCCTACATTTTCAGTGAGAGGGCTGGAATTTTGGACAACCTGGTGCATTCATTATTTTTCCAACTTTTTAAGGTTAGATAAAAGGCAGCTATTCTGCTCGATATGCTTTGAGATTTGAAACCAATGTTTTCTTTACGGATCTTAAAAAAAAAAATATGTCCAGGTTATAATTACTTCTGTGTATGCTTATTCAGCCGTTTAATATATATTCACCACCTTTATTATTTTTATAAACAATTCAAACTAGCCAACTTACCCAATACTCCTCCCTCCTCTGATTTTCCCTACAACAACAATCACCTAGCAGGGAGGGCTGGGCTGAGAATGACCTGTGGATACCCCGGGAAGTTTAGCTTCCAAAATACAAATGGACCTCAACTTACAACAATTCATTTTGTGACTGTTCAAAGTTACAAACGGCACTGGAAAAAGGTAACTTACGACCATTTTTCACACCTGCAGCCACGGGGAAGCCAGATTTACTTAACAACCATGTTACTAACCTGACAGCAGTGGTTAACTTAACTGTGGCAAGAAAGGTCGTAAAATGGGGCAAAATTCACTTAACAAATTTCTCACTTAGCTAGATAAATTTTGGGTCCAATTATGGTTGTTAGCCGAGGACAACTTGCAGTTCCACAGTATAAGGTTCAACTTATCTGTGGATAGGCTTATTTGCAGACGTACGGGTAGTCCTCAACTTAACAACCATTCGTTTAGTGACCAAAGTTAGAACACCACTGAAAACGGTGTTGATAATTTTTCACACTTAATGACCTTTGTGGCAAGTCACGTGATCAAAAATTGGAGGCTTGCTAAGCGAGCTTTCGCTTGTTTTACTATTTTTTTTTGCCACCGTTGTTAATTGAATTGCTGCAGTTGTTAAGTTACCAACACGGTTGTTAAGTGAATCTGGCTTCCTAATTGGCTTTGCTTTGTCAGAAGGTCGCAAAGGGAGAATCCCATGGCCTCTGGCACACTGCGACCATTAAAAATACGAGACAGTTGCCAAGCCTCAGTATTTCAATCACGTACCCACAGGGAGGTAGCAATGGTCGTAAGTGTGAAAAAAGATCATGTCAATTTTTCAATGCTCAGGTATGAGCGGTCACAATGAACAGCTGTAACTTTCTTAAACTAGGGGTGTCAAACTTGATTTCATTGAGGGCCACATCAGGGTTGTGGTTGACCTGGGGGCGGGGGAGTGGCCAGGGGGGCATGGCCACGGGGTGGGGAGGCATGGCCATGGGGCATGGTCACTTGAGTTGGGTAGCCCAAGTGCTCTGCCAGCAAAAATGGGCTCCCAAGCTCCGTTTTCAGCTGCGACCGCCTCCTGCAATCCTCTGCCAGTGAAAACGGGCTCCTGAGCTCCATTTTCGGCTGCAACTGCCTCCTGCAACCCTTTGCCAGTGAAAATGGGCTCCTGAGCTCTGTTTTCAGCTGCGACCCCCTCCTGCAGCCCTCTGCCAGCGAAAACGGGTTCCCCAGTTCCGTTTTCGGCTGCAACCGTCTCCTGCAACCCCCTGCCAGTGAAAATGGGCTCCTGAGCTCCATTTTCGGCTGTAACCGCCTCCTGCAACCCTCTGTTAGCAAAAACGGAGCCCTGGAGGGCTGTGGGCCATTCCTTAGCTATTCCCATGGCGCTCCTGGAGGCCAGATCCAGCACCCTGGCCTTGAGTTTGACACCACTGCTCTAACCAAATCATCGTAAGTGGGGAAAAAACCACCTGTATTGTTTTTTTAATCATCTGCATCAACGGGTCGAAGAGCAACGTGGAGCCCAGATTGTCTCAAATTCCCCTTTTTTTCCTCCCAGGATGTCCCTGTGAGTTCTCCTTCGGAGGATGTCCATGATCCTCTTCACTTGCGTGGTGCGGATAAAGGACGGACTTCCCCTCTCGGCGTCCAGCGATTTCCACCTAGACCCTCAGTTTTTGGAATGCAGGAAGAGACTCAACATCCTGTCCTCCGTCCTGACACAATATCCAGAACGCGGCACGGCCAAAGAGTGTGACCTCAGTATACAGTAAGTCATTCTCTTGCCTACCACCTAGTCCCGTTTTACGCCTTCGTCGTATTGTTATGTGTGTCGCTTCGGTCATTCATTCTGATTGGACTTACGAAAGAGCGAATAAATACAGGTAGTCCTCAGCTTACGACCAAAACTTGACACCAAGATTAATGTGGCTAAGTGAAACACTTGATAAGTGAGCTTTGCCCCATTATACGACCTTTTTTTTTTTTTGGCCACAGCTTGTTAAGTGAACCATTGCAATTGTTAGTAAATTAGTAAGAGGGTTGTTAAGTGAATCTTGGCTTCCCCTTTTGACTTTGCTCGTCACGTAATTACGTGGCCATTAGGACATTGCGACCGTCATGAATACGAACCACTTGCCAAGTGTGTGAATTTTGATTATGTGCGGCCGCTTGGGATGCCTCAACGGTCGTAAGTGTGAAAAATGCACCGTCAACTTTTTCAGTTGTAACTTTGGGCGGTCACTAAATGAATTGTTGTAAATTGAGGACTACCTGTACACATAATCCAGTGCTATGGTGGCGCAGTGGCTAGAAAGAAGCACTGCAAGGACTTACTCACTGCCCATTGCCAGCAGTTCAATCCTAAGCGGCTTAAAGTTGACTCAGCTTTCCATCCTTCTGAGGTCACTAAAATGAGGACCCAGATTGTTGGGGGAAGAGGCTGTAAACTGCTTAGAGGGGGCTGTAAAAGCACTATGAAGCGGTATATAAGTCTAAGTGCTATTGCTATTGGTACCAATCTTTCTTCTTCTTTGTCTTCGTCTTCTTCTCCTCCTATTCCTCCTCCTCCTCTCTGCAAACTCCACTCCCTTCCAGGCCTGCTGAAGTTAATCAGTTGGGTCATGAAACATCTGCAAGAAAGCCACCAAATTCAGAGAGCAGCAAAGACCCCAGTCGTCTTCTTCTTCTCCTCCTTCTTCTCCTTCTCCTCCTTCTCCTTCTTCCTCCTCCTCCTCCTCCTTCTCCTTCTTCCTCCTCCTCCTCCTCCTCCTCCTCTTCTTCTTCTTCCTCCTCCTTCTCCTCCTCCTCCTCCTCCTCTTCTTCTTCTTCCTCCTCCTCCTCCTCCTCCTCCTCTTCTTCTTCTTCCTCCTCCTCCTCCTCCTCCTCCTCTTCTTCTTCTTCTTCTTCCTCCTCCTCCTCCTCCTCCTCCCTCCTCCTCCTCCTTCTATATAATGTGTTTCACAAATATTTTGGGGGAGGGCTTATTTTAGCCCAAGCGCTCAAAAGCCCAATTGGACTTATTATCTGGGGAGGTCTTATTTTCAGGGAAACGGGGTATATCAAAGTTTGTTTGTTTGTTTGTGTGTCTGTGTGTCTGTGTGTCTGTGTGTCTGTTCATCAGAATTCTGGAACGCCTCAAGCAATTTCAACCAAACTTGGTACACAGATGACTTAATCTCTGGAAACAAATACTGTGGCAGTAAGGTACCCCTAACACTCCTCAGTGTGTGTGTTCTGTTAAGATACATCCTGTTGTGTCTTAAAATGGCTTCCACTGTACTGCCGTAAAATGGATTCTACTGTACAGCGCAGTGGAGTTGCCATGGTAACGGCTTCACGGTACTCCACAAGGAGGCTCCCTCTGGTAAGGGGGAAAATCCAACATTAGAAATTACAGTTGGTCCGCACATTTCCCCACTATAAATAGATACTGGNAGGCGCGATTTTGTCGATCGCGCTTTTGCCGTCCGTGCTTTTGACGGGTCACGAAAAAAAAAACACTTTTAAGAGAAATGTGGCCTGGATTACTGAGAATCTATATAGTCTCTGATTTATCAGTTGATAACCAAAAACCTATCATGGATTTGTTATAAAGCAGTTTCTTCTATATGCATCTCTTTATCTTCAGGATGCCTGTAAATCAGATACTGGCAGATTTTCAGTGCTGGCACTGAAAAAAACATAAAATTAAAAACGATTTAAGATCTGACAATGTAAACCAAATGGCATCCAATTTCTGAGAAATCAAGATTTTTTAATGTTCTGCGTCGAGAGTTTGCAAGGGTTGAGATAAGACCTAGCGATCTTGTTAAGAGTTAGATCTTTCCACCGAAGAATTTTGATGACTTCATATAAAACCTTAGGAGAGTAAAGTCAGTTTAATGCCTCATTTTCATTTTAGTTCGCTGACTGGTTTTAACAACCATTCAAGGGACTGAAAAAAGTGACTTATGACCATTTTTCACACTTACGACCATTTTCAGCATCCCCATGGTCACATGATCAAAATCTGGCCGCTTGGCAACTGACTCTTATTTATGACGGTTGCGACCTTCTGACAAGCAAAGTCAAGGGGGAAGCCAGATTCACTTAACAACCATACTAATTTATCAACGGCAGTGATTCACTTAACAACGGTGGCAAGAAAGGTCCTAAAATGAGCCAACCCCCTTTTTTTTAACTACCATCTTTTTAACTACCATTTTAGCAACAGAAATGTTGGTCTCAATTGTGGTCGTACATTGAGGACTAGCTGTAATCCAGTTAATAACATTTTTAATACAGGTAATCCTCAAACTTGCGTCTGCACTGGATGAGAGGTACTTGGTTCTTTTAGCACACAGTTACGATTTGCGACCTCCTCTGTCCATTTCTGATGAGCAAAGTCACTGGGGAAGCATCAGGAAGTGGCAAATGGCAACCACGTGGCCTCATCGCTTAACGACCTGTGGGTGATTGTTCTGACCCAGCTCCCCAAACACGACAAAACCTCTGAAGTGAACTCAAAGATTCCTGTATTAGGCGCACCAGCAGCCCCTGCAAAAAGTTTCTCTCTCTCTAACAAGTCAGTTCAGCAGGGAGATGAACAGTTGTCTGCCACACCTATTCATCTCTTTTATCCNTGGGCCAATCACCAGGAGACGGAGAGTTCTAGTCCCACCTAGGGCCCCCCTTCACCCCTGGATTTCTCTGTGCTCTGCTTAATGACCTTTATGCTTGCTTAACTACCACATTGGGGAGCAATAGCAGTGTCGGTTGTTAAATGAGATGATCGGTGGTCACTCCAGTTAACAGCTGCCTCAACCTGCGACCCTAATGGGCAGGCTCCATTACAGTCGGAAGACGAGGCCTGCCTGTAGGGTAGCTAACTCAGATCCTGCCCCAGGGGTGCCAAGGTATCTGCTTTAAAAAGGGGGGGGGAACCATGGTTACGTTTCACTGGATCTGTTTTTCGTTGCATTGGCTGACTCAATTTGACCTTGAAATTTAATTTGACCCTTTTAATTCTTCTTCCCCTAGGAAGATGGGCAAGAAATTAGGAACGTCGTAGCGTTTCTGCTGCCTTTCCTGTCCTGCTTCGGCTTGGTGAGTATCTTATATATTTTCTGGGTTTTTTGGGGGGGGGGGATTTAAATGACTTAAAGGTGCCTCAGCTTCCTGAAATACCTTCATTGACCACAAAGGTGCCTTGTTTTTCTCTCTCAAAAGGCAACTAGACTGTTTTTTAATTGAAGGAAGAGGAGAAACACGGTTTGCTTCCTATTCAAGAAGCTTCATCAGTTTTGTTTATACATTACTAGCCGATAACCCGTTGTTGCCCCGGGTATTTATTTATAGTGGGAAAATGTCTGGACCAAACGTAATTTCTAATGCTGGATTTTTCCCCTTGCCAGAGGGAGCCCCCTGGTGGAGTACTGTGAAGCCGTTACCATGGCAACTCCACTGCGCTGTACAGCAGAAGTCATTTCACGGCAGTACAGTAGAAGCCATTTGAAGGCACAACAGGCTGCATCTTAATAGAACACATACACCTTGGTCCTTGGTGGCCTCTGAGCTCGGTGGCTTTCTTGCAGATGTTTCATGACCCAACTAGTTAACATCAGCAGGGCTAGAAGGAAGGTGGGTTTGCAGAAAGGAAGAGGGGGAAAATGAAGAAGAAGAAGAGGAGGAGGAGGAGGAGGAGGAGGCGGAGGAGGAGGGGAAGAATATATAAAACATTTTCCTCTTCTTCCTCAAATATATAAAACTTTCTTCTTCTTAAATAAAGAACAGTCCCATTGCCTTTTGAAAAGTAAAAAAAAGGTTCCACCACAAAAGCGCGTAGGACAAAATCGCGCTCGACAAAAGCGCGCTGTGACATCATCACAGCGCGATGAAAAAGTTC